TTACCCTCTTATTTGTTCCCCCCCTTCCCCATTTGTCGTCCCATCCAAGTTTGTTTCACCCTTCTTTCTACAGTAATGAATCCAATCATGATGTCCTCTCCATGCTCTCTTCCAACTCAACTCACCGAGTTAGGAAGACTCACTCTCCGATAAATCTACAATATTATTGTCAACCGTAGATTTGGGTATTTATATTATTATATGTAAGATGTGATACGTGGCATGCAGAGTAATATTGAGACAGTGAATTAAAAGCTGACATAAACATGCGTCACTCACATTTAGGTTCCAAATTTGAGTTAAACACCCAAAACAAGCCTTTTGAATTTTGTTGGCCCACCAAATATTAAAGAATATATATATATATATATATATATATAAAATTTACATAGAAGAGAGTTTCAAGAGATTACAGAAGAGACTTTTTGGAGGCACGAACATGTAAACATGGAGGCCATCATGTTCCCTCTCCTCCAAACTCTCTGTCTTCTTCAAAACTTTCTCTTAATTTAAAAAAACCCTAATCACTACCTTTTCTACCACTTCCATTAAAAAATTCACCTTCAAATTTACTTTAATTTCTTTTTCTTTTTGTTGTTGTAATTGCTAATTTCAATGGAGAAAATCTCTTGGAAAAGGTGCTGAAAAAGCTTTTGGTATGGGGAAGATTAATTTAATTATGTAATTAATTAATTAATTAATTTCTCCAATGAGATTATGTGTGATTAAGTAATTGGGTTAGAGTGGACCAAAGAAGATTAGCACTGCCGGCATCTTGGAACTCTTAAATTACAACTCTGTTCTAATGAGTGCTTAGTGGTGTGTGGCAAATTTAGATTCTATGAGTGTCTTCCACTTACCATAACCCACCATTTTTTTTTTTTTTTAAATTCCAAACCAATATCATATCTTTACACTAAGCTCTTTTTTATTTTAATTATTATTTTTTTTTTCATTTGCTTGCCTAAAAAATATCTTATTTTTTATAAAATTGGATTTTGATCCAACTCTTTATATAGATCAAATTTAATCGATCAATTCAGTTTAAATTTGCTTTTGTTTAATCCGATTTGATCTGGTTTACTTCGATATGACCGTGTTATACTCGGACTCGATGCAAAATTCACATAAAATTACAAATGGGTTATATCAAGTTTAAACTTTTAAATGGGGTATTAATAATTAATTTTGATCTGACAAATCAGTAGGCAAGGTATGGTAAGCTTTGGTGCAACATCAATTATTTTACAAGTGGGTGAAAACAAAAATATTAGGAAATAATTGGTTTAGGAGAAATGAAGTTTGGCAGGCATGATTTTTTTTCTTGGGTCCCAAACAAGGCCACCTGCTGGTTTGATTAGGGAGACAAGAATCTATTGCAGTAGGAGTAGGGGAAATGAGATGAGGAAAAGAAGTGTATATACGTGTGTGTGTGTGTATATATATATCCTGCTAAAAAATGTAACATAATCTTTATAATGGTGATATGTCATGAGTGAATTATATGTATAACGTGGCATGAATAATACTTACATATATACCAACACTATAATGTAACAGGTCTCCGACTAAAAGTTAATTAATCAAGTGATTAATCTCACTCCATCTGCATATACTATATTTATAATAAAATAATTAGGACCCTGCACACACACACACACACACACATATATATATATATATATGTATGTATTAACTGACTCGTTCACAACTTATTTCTCTAATCCAAATTAATTAACTTAAAAATTTAAGAAACTTTACATGTTGAACGAGCCTAGACTCAGAAAAGGGTCAACCCAAGCTGATTGGGCTAACCCGTTCATTATTTTATGTGGGCTGGCCTTGTTCCAGCCTGGTTTGACTAAGCAGCACCTCTGTATTATTGTTATTATTATTATTTTTTAAAATTTCTTTTGATTTTTTCAGTAAATATATATATATATCTCAATTTATTAATATATAAATAGTTCAACCTAAGTTACTTTCTCTTCTGCCTTGATGACTAACCGGTTTGGGTTGGATAGGTTTTTGGATGGTTCAACCAATTTGAGACCTTGAGAAAAAAAACTACAGAAATTGAATGATAGAAATCTAAACGAAAGAAAAATATAAAACACAAACAACTTCATGTTGTTATTTCTTTCCATAATCATTAATTTAGCCCAAACTGGGGTGTGATTGATTGGTTTTCGAAAATCTATACTTTTAAAAAAAACATAAACGATAACAAGTAAAATTTGAATAAAACAAAAAAAAAATTATATTGCCATTTGTTTTCATAATTGTATAACATATAGGGCTATAAGTAGAAAATGCCTACATATTGCCATAATTTTTACAGTGACAACTCCATTATGGTACATCAAACGACAACTAACCCGCTATGATACCTAGTTTCTCCTATTTAGGAAGATGGTTTTATTGTTACTGATTTCAAAGGCCCACTAACTATTTTTTAAAATTATATGTTTAGTTCATTAATTGAGTGAACACTTAGCTTAAGTAGGAGAGACTTACCATGATAGTTTAATCGATATTGGTTCACAAATTTTTACCGCAAGTGTCCTTGTTTTGTAAAAGAAAATTGTTCCTTCCCAATGAAAGGAACCAAACACAATGTAAAAAAGTACTAATATCATCTTTTTGTGTCTTAAAGCTCGATACATAAAAGACCAAAAAGAAAAAAGTTAGTTGACATCAAATATGTTACACTAAAATATGTTCCACTATCTAAGGATTACATCTAGTCTAGATGTGTTTTCT